GGGCATGCAATTGTCTAATCAAGAAATTTCAACTAGAGAAAACTGTCTGGCTTATTTACTAAGATGATTAAAATTCAGTGAATCCAACTATATTAGTGCTTTTGACAAAATATGCACAGTTATTTTCCATATTCTTACACTAGGTCTCATGTAAAAATTACAATTTGAGCTGCAATATATATGAAAGATTCTCTTCTATTTAAGCAAAACTAACAACTCAAGATTTAAAAAATCAACTCAAATGTACTGTGTATGTGAAGAATTATCTGCTGAAAGAACATGTATAATAAATACATTGAATACTCTTATTTACCAAACAGTTTCGGTTTTCCTCCTGTTAAAAATTTGATGCATTTCTCCAGTCCTTTGACAGGTTGTTTATGATTTTATTTATTGTCGTTAAATTTCTGCTTAATAATTTGCGGATATGTTAAACACCATTTTCATTGTTTCTAAATTTTATGTTTATCTTGGTGATTGTGTATTTAATTTCACCCCTTTTTGGTGAAAACAATTGAACACCATTGGATTGATTTATAATGTGTTCTATTTTTGCCTATATTAGTCGGTAGTTGTCTATCTTCTACTCAAATTTGTCGTCGATTGGGTGGACGGCCAAATAATCTACTTAGAGGCCCGTGAAACTGCTGCTGCTGTTGACTTCTGTACACGTCTGCTTCAGCTGTACTCATCTCACAATATCGGCAAGGTATTCATTTTGGCCTGACGTTAATTCTTTGAAGTAATCTAATCAATATGGCAAGAACAAGAATTGAAGTAGAAACTTTACAATTTGATAAATTTACAACGCCTAAAGAGGCTACGAGATATATTTGTTCTATAAAAAAACCTACCTTGAATGGTTGAACCTACTTTGTGTTAGTTTGCTACAGTTGGAGCAAAATGAAACTTATATTTGGCTGCAAAATGAACAGCGACAGTGTTCTCTCTGGGAATTGTTTGAGGAATAAAATTTCTTCCTCTAGAACGTCATTGAAAATGTTATCCATCCAAAACACCTCTTTGAATGGATTTGTACTGGGACTTCTTAATGAGGTCGCAGGTAAGAATGCCCAGTAAGGCTTACAATAGGCTAATAATGTAAACATGCATGCGAACTATTTTAAATCATAAATGAAATTTAGTGTGAATCATGTATTAGATCAGTTTCCTATACATATAACTGTGACTCATATAAAAACAACATAGGATTGCAAACCTGTCTTCTATGAAGCATCACAGGATAACACTCCACAGATAATCTCTAACCCATGGGCTCTACATAAAGTGCAAAACCCTATGAAAATATATTGAGGAGGTTATAACTTGAAATTTTAACTACTACAAATTATTTTTATTTCTCTTAATTCCTTCCCACCATTTAACCTTTAGATTTGTCTTGTAGGGATTTGAACTTTAGGAATCATATCATGGCCTTTATTAATATCCCCATATTTCCTCTACAGTTCAATTTACAGATAAGACTAACGATGGTAGAAGAAAGAAAGCACTAAGCATGGACCAAATTTGACCAGTTACCGCGGTGTTAATGGGCACTGTCATGCAGTGCATACTGCTAATGTCGAATGATGGTTCTCATAAAAAATAGTTCTGTATCGAAGTCTTGCTTATCAATAACTCACTGTATTTCTTGTTCATTGACTTGATTTTACCTTTTGGGTGGATTTGAGTTCCTTTCTCTTGTTCCTTGAAAGATGCCTAGACTCTTCCCATTTAGTGTGATCTCTCTTGGATAGGTGCAATAGTTGGAGCAATACCAACTTCCTTCTAAAATTTTATAGAGAACAGTTCATCAGAGTGCAGATGTACATATGCTGCTATTTGTGTGAGTACTTCTGAAAATAAGACATGAAAAGCAAATTATTCCAAGGATCCGTTCTATTGAAGATTTAGAACCCAAGAATATTTAACTTGTTACAATAGTTATGAGTCTTGTCTTCTTACAGACTTGAAATCGCAGTCAAATCCATCCTGCACTGTAATTCTTAATGATGGATTTCAAGCCTTTCCAAACATGGAGTATCTTGAAATCCTTTTCAATGTTATTTAATTTTTGTATCATCTAGAGACTGGATTTCAAATACTTGGTCGAAATTATAAATTCAATTATAGATTAAGAGAAGTATTACATTTTAAATGCGTTTAAACTCGAACCCAGTTCTGAAATTATAATCTACACTAACCCGCACATAAAAGTCATGGTCTGGTGGTGAACCAAGTACCAATAAGGGCATGGATATAAGGAGGGGGCTTACTCAATGTATGATCTTAACAAATGGTTGGAGGGGCTAACCATGTCAACTTTTATGGACAAGGATGCTGTTTCTAAACATGCAATTGAGCAAGATATGGACAGTAAAAGATGGAATGCAACATGCTTTTTTGACAAATTGGAGTGCACATATTTTGGATTATTGTGGTACAGTGGCATGAATATTTATTTAAATAGATATTTCTAAATCTTGATCGCTGTTTGTAAAAGAACTATTAATAATCAAGTAGAAAGTTGACACTTGCGATTTCACCATCCTTTATTTATTTTGCTCATGTGACATGAGTTATATTTTTACTTTCAGATATCAGTTAGCCTTTCAAACAGCTTACTTAGTGAAGCAGATACAGATAGATACAAGGATTTACGGGCCCTTCTACAACTCCTTGCAAATCTGTGTTCGAAGGATCTGGTAACTCTTTTACTCATTCATTTCACCATTAAGAAATTTCTTTTCTCCCAAGGGCACTAGATTTATCGCATTTGTAATATTCAGTGGCATGTACGGAACGTGAATTGTGAAAGTCCTAGGATAACTCTTCTTTTGGAAGATTGGTACTATTATGAGACCACCATTCAAATAAATTCAAAGCAGCAGGAACCATTTGCTCTAGTGTGCAACATTTTCATGTCAATTTTTTACAAATGTCGTGCTTTTATTTATTATCAAGTAACTAAACTTGGGTCTCACTGCTGTAAATCTACTACTTGCCTATTTCAAGAGCAAGATGGCTTTCTCCATTGCAATCTTTTATTCGACCTTCTAACTTTTATCTTTATTGAAGCTTTGATGTTGAAGATTCTAGAAAAAGATATTTCCATGTCTCCCATGATGCCCCTCTTTTTTTCTAAGAAAACACGAAAACATTATTTTGTTTGTGTAGAAAATTATGTTTGATTTTTATTCTCAAGTGCAATTTACTTTTTCTTGAGTCAAAATTTAACTTAGTTTTCCTATCATACATACTAGTGATTGCTTATTTTTCCATTTTTTAGAGAAAGAAGCATCTATAATTACAGGCTCTTCTGAGTTATCATTTCTCAAATCTTCTCATGTATCAGGTTTCTGATTTCAACAAGATTAAACACAATAAAAATCAAGCTTTAATGAGGCTCTTAGATTCTTCTTTATATTTGATAGACCTTAAGCCGAAGAACAGAGATGAGGATGGTGAGGTTGAGAGGTGGTGGAGTGAAGTTGAGGTGGAGTTGGCTAAGACAGAAATTTTGTTTTAAATTCAGTAGTGAGTGAAGGAAGAACTTGGTTGTTGGGAGAGATTTCTGGGCTGTGAATGAAAGCTCCCTAATTTTATTTGATCTCACTGGTCAAGAAAGAGGAAAAAATTTAAAAGGATTTATCTAGAATCTCAAACTAAGTGATCCCCGACTTGAAGACTCCAATTTGAATTTATGTCCAATCAACAAAAGAAATACAAGAAAGAGGACAAATTCAAAGTAACATTTGACCTATTATCATGGGATAACATGAAAGACAAGAATGTGAGTTCTTCTCAAGCTAGTGACAAGTTAACAGAAGCAATCTGTGCCTTTTTTGGCAATGGATAATGTTCAAGATAGTTGCATTGCATTTTGCAGATTCTTGTCCTGTTAATGGATTTAATTTTTTGGCTTTGTCTTTGAATTACATATGATATGAAGATTCCATGATTCAAATGAAAGTGTGCGTGCAGGTTGACTTTGCATCTGAACCCCTCGAGGCTTATGGTGTGAGCATTTCTCAGGTACACTCTTGTAGTACTCCCATCTGATGAAAACACAGCGTTTGTCTTGCATGATTCCCATAGATTATTCCTAAATTTCCTGATAGATTCCTTATACAGGTTGTATTTATGGGTCTTCACATAGTAACCCCTCTGATTACTTTGGAGATGCTGAAATATCCCAAGCTTTGTCACAGTGTATAGATTTTTCTTTCCTTCTCCTTTTTGGTGTGTGATTTATAGAGGTGAAAACTTCAGAGCATTAATGGGGAGCTAATATTTTCCTTGGACAGTATTTCTCTCTACTATCGCACATGCTGGAGGTTTACCCTGAAATAGTCGCTCAATTAAACATTGAAGCCTTTGGTCATATAGCAGAAACTCTTGATTTCGGGCTTCATCATCAGGTAAAATCTGGTGCTGGATGTACGAGTCTCTAGTTAAATACTAGAGTATATTCCCTGAAGGATTGGTTCATCTTGTCAATTTCGAAAAAACAAAAAAATTATTGCAATTAGAATTCTGCTGCTAAATGTCTACTAAGCTCTTTACCTTCACCAAATTATCCCTTTTCCTTGATTAGGAAGGTGAAGTTGTTGACTTATGTCTAAGGGCTCTAAAAGCACTTTCATCCTATCATTACAAGGAAAAAGGAATGGATAAAGTTGGTTTAGGTTCACATGTTACCAGTTATAAGGATCCTGGTGGAAAAGTTCGAGAAGGCATACTGAGTCGGTTCCTTTGTTCATTGCTGCAACTTCTTCTTTTTGAGGACTACAGGTAAGTATTATTTAAATAAGCTTTTTGTTTGTAAGAAATGTAGTGCATATTTTTTGTATGCAGTACTCCATATTACTAGACATTATAACTAACAAGATTTTTACTGCTTTAATAAGGGTCCTCCCTACGACTATGCAAATATGATATTGTTTACATTAAATGACCATATTATTCTGGTTGTTTGGATGTCGTTAAACATATAATGATGGTTATATTTCTTTGTGGTTTCAGCATGGATCTTGTAAGTTCTGCAGCAGATGCACTTTTCCCATTGATACTGTGTGAACAAAGTGTTTATCAGGTATGTTGGTTTTCTTGTCTGGCAATACACCTTGTTTATCTATAAATTTGTTAACTCTTTAAATTTACCATCTTTGCAAAGGTCAAATAATAGTTAAGATATACCCCCTAAGAACTTCTAGCTGTCATATATCTTCAACATGCTCAATCAAGTAACAGTCGGACTCGCATCTTTGCTCTGTTAGATGCAGTAAGCTTATTCTCTAATCGTTGTGAAAATACTCGAAAGAACTAAAAGAACAACTAGGGTTTGTGGATCATACTAGTGCAATTTACTTGATATGGATTATTATGCATCAGTTGTAGAAATAACAATTAGGATTATTTTTACTGCATGTTTGGTACATGCTTCACACTACTTTGGACAAGATTTTAGCTCATTTTCTTTCTTGATAATGTTCTGTACTGTCTAATCCACTTACCATACATGCCATAATTGTCATTCTCGTCTACCTTATGTTAATAGATTACTGGAATCAAGTCGTGGTGGATTTTGCATAGATGTCCATGCAAATTTTGGTGAACTGGTTTTAGAAATACAGAACCTTGGCTGTAATGACACAATTTACCGGATTATGCTTGACTGATGATTGACATTATCTGCTGATTTTCGTCTTTCGTTCGTCCTTCTGAGTTGGAATTTTTGTTGCAGAATTTAGTGAATGAATTGATAGAAAGGCAGACCAACCAAATGTTCCGATTACGGCTAACAAATGCTCTCCAGTCTCTCACAAATTCAAACAACCTTTCTACGACACTTGACCGTGTAAATTTCCAGAGATTCCGGAAGAATTTACACAGTTTTCTCATTGAAGTTCGTGGGTTTCTTCGAACAATATGACACCTGCAAAATCAGTAGAATATGAGCAATCTACTGAGTTTGTAAATTTTTGTCTGAGGAACTCCAAGAGTGCCTTTTCAGGTTGCGTTTGGAATGTAAGTGCCTTTCTGCAATGTGTTGTAGAGTTGATTTTGTGGTCCTATAGGCATTTGTGATTGATATTAATTATTTTGTATATTCGATCTTGCTGTGAGTAGTCTGAGAAGATATGAATCATTAGGAAGTAGACACAGAGTTGCTTAAATTGAATTTTGTATCTCCCCCACTCTACACCCAACAAATCCAATTATGTACCCCTCTTTCGATAAAAAAAAAAATGTTCTCAAGTTTATTTATTTATTTATTTTTAGTTGAAAAGGTGAACAAAAGAATTTCTAATCCTGTTGGAAACAAGCAAAGGTCGAGGAAATGCCCCGCCTAAAAGAACTCAGCACGAAATTTGGTTAACTAGAATGTGACGACTTCAAAGCACAAATGCTCTGTTTGAACTCTAAGATGTCAGGTATTCTGAATTCAGTTGGATATAATTGAGAAAGAGATGTATTTGATGTCAATTATTTGTTTATGCTCAGTTCTATGTGGAAAGCATGCCCGTGTACCTAAATTGAAGTACTCTTTTCTTCCGACAAAACCGTGGTCTGGCAATTACATAGCAATTCTTCCGTCCCGTGGGAATGCCATTTGTTATCAATTAATTTTACATGGATCAACGATGGAAATTTTGATTGTTATCTTAAGTTCGCACTGTGCAAACCTGTACCGCTATCAATGAACACTCATGTGAAATTATCATGTCATGGGCGGCGAACCAAGGCCATTGAGAGGAGCATTCATAATATGAAGACAATCTTGAACACAAATGACGAACACACAAGAAGTGAACCCAAAATTACTAAAGTAATTATAAAAAAACTCTTAATTATTTTTACAGGTTGTTCCACATTAGCAAAAATCAGTTTTAGAAGCCACGTGAATAACAAAGATAGATCTGTTATACATGACTTCATGATTGATGAGAAAAGAACACGAAACATGGTGAATAAAATGTGAAAATATAATAGATTCAGCTAAAGTCAATTGATCGATGACTTCATGTATCATTAGATGAAAATATTTAATTACCTTCATGGCCTTATCAAAAATCAATAAATAGACATAGTTGAGAACAGTTAAAAAAAAAAAAAAGATATGAAAAATCAAATACATTCTCCCTCTCATGTAGTCATTTCTCTCCTTGTTCTTGCTTGAGTAAGAAATTTAGTAAGTTTTAGGAAGGAAAATCCTAGTGAGGTGAGGAATTTATTCATCTCAATTTTGCGGTTAATAAACAAATTGACGTTGTCCATGGGAAAGCTTGAACAAGCCATCCTCGAATAAAAATGCAATGTGTACCCCTTCGCAACTATACACATGTATACCCAGGCAGGAAATATTGATCATCTCTCGTCGCGGAGGCTACAAGGAAAAACTCTCCTTCATATTAAACCTGGCAGCTCAAGGGCTGAGGNCAATTGAGTTATTGTTTCCATTACTACTAATATTTTTAGGTTAATCAGGTCGACAACAAGGTCATATTGACAACATTGATAGGATGATAAAGTTGACAAAAAGCCATATTAATGAAATTTAGACTATTTTTAGCTATGTCCACGTATCCCACATTTTATAAAATAAGATGTTAGATATTTTTCATCATTTTGCATGTATTTATTTTTGTTTTGCGAATGATTTGCCGGCCCGACTAGTGTTTGCCGCTGCGCAACGGGGATCGAAAGAGAATTTTATTTTCAGAAGTCTTTGAATAGGTGCATCTGTTCGTTTTTTAATAGTTACCTCCAGAAGATGTATGCAAGAATTTCAAGGGACACACCTATTCAAACGGTTGCCTCAATTTCTATAAATTCTGGCGAATTCTCGTTTGCAAAATACATTACAAAAATTTATTCTTCTTTCTTTCTCTTGGCATCAATCAGTTATTTTCGAGCGTCTTCTTGGTTTTATCAAATAGTCACAATTTGAATCAAACGTCTCCATTGTATCCTGAGAGAGATTTTCTATCATACCTCAGTTGTGACTTTGTTGGATAAGGAAGAAACATATCTTAAAAGATAACGTTTTTTCGTGCCTTGGAGTTCATTAAGTATTCAGATTTTCCTATATTTTCTCAACATAAAAGATCTGACATTTAGATACATACTCATACCTGACATTCGTATCCGAGTCTGAGCATCATAGATCATGATATCGTTATTATAGCTAATTCCAATGACAAGTTTCAGATCCTAACCCATGATTTGAAAGGCCGAAATTTCCAGGTATTTCTATTTGAAGACCCATTGAAGGAGTGAGGTCCTCTCTAGGCCTCTCTCCACCAATTCATTGAGGATTATCGGTATTCTATTACGATTGAAGACCTAATGAGGGATTTGGGTCCATTTTAGGTCTCTCTCTATTAATTCTTTGTGTAATATTGAATTTATGTTATGTTTGAAGACCCCAACAGGGGAGATCCTATCTAGGCCTCTCCCCGTTAATCTACATGGGGATATTTATATAAAACCTCGTCAAGAAGTGGACTTATCTCATTCTACCATGCGCTAGCAAATTCTCTCGAAGATTGAAAGAGTACCTCCAAGAGATATAATTGGTAGGAAAAATAAACTGAAAATCCATCGTTGATTTACTCCTTTAATATGCACAAAATATTATTTACTAGATCTCCTATAAACATAAAACATGTAGGAGGGATGAGCTTAGAACCCGTCGTTACCTTACTCCTTCGACCTCTGTGGTCAAATTATATTGGCACTGAAAGAGTATCCCCACCATGAAAATAGCTGCTTATTGAAAGAGTTTCCAAGATCAAATTTTCTCGAGATTGAAAGAATATGCAGGCTTGAATTTCTTCAAGTCACAAATGACCTCGCATTGAAAGAATATCTAAGATCGAATTTCTAGCCAGAGGTATTAGAGATAGAAAATCACTAATCAATAAGGTCATAATCACACAGGTAGTAAATTTCTCTAACATGTATTACCTCAGAATACCTATGAAGCCAAAATATGAGGTATTGGCTACAATCTCCTTTTGGCATGCAGGTCTCGATTTTAGTAGAAGTCCCCTAATTTTGCTTTAGCTTCTATTCAATATAACATTACCATGATCAAATCTAAGCAGCGATGCAAAATTTCAACACTAGTAGCAATAAAGCATTAAAATCCTTCATTTTACATAAATATAGAACTCGGAATTGGAGATTGATGTTATATGCTGAAATAATTATTGTCCACAGGGACTTTAAGTCAATTTCATGCCTATATGTCACCAAACACTTGCACCTTGACCTCGGATCTCCCTAGTAAGAGGATGTAGATCCACAAGCACTTGGCAAATGAGCATAGCCTCAGACATATATATCATTTTAGTGACAAATTATGATTTCGCCAATATAAATGTCAGTGTTATAAAACAAAACATGTATATAACGAATTGCATAACAAATGTAACTAAAAATACACATTTCAGTAAGGATATTGGAACTTGGACTTAACTATGACTTTCAAATATAATGTCAAAAAATTTCATATCATAAAAAAGATCAAAAAACCCATAAAACTTGTCCATAACTATGACCATTTACACAATTAAAATAGGAGTGAAAAAAGTTGAAGAAAGATTAAAAAATACATTGAATAATGATTTAAATAGAAATTGTTCTTATTTTTTTTTTTAATAAAAAGACACATTAAATAAGGAGATATTAGAAAATTAAGAAATCAATTATATTCTCAATAAGAAAAGTGACCTGTAATTTAAGATAAATGTGAAAAAGAAGAAGAAGAAGAAGAAGCAAATCTATCTTTATAGGAACGGAGAACATACTTAGCCACATTTCTTTTTTATATATATAATTTATAAGTACTTTATAAATATGCTATATGATATTCATATTAATCATTAAACTCGAAGTAATGCTATTTATCAGTGTTTTAAAATAAATGCGAGCATATATACTCGATGCTTTTTCAAATTGCCTTGCATATTGGATATGTGCATGACAGAGCGGTCAACCCGTTTCGTTGACCATATATACACGCTTAAATGACAAATGCGCACATATATTGTGTTAAAAATTGTATCAAAATTAGCCTAACAAAGCCCAATCTATTTTTATAACTTAAAAAAATAAATTGAGCTCAACAAATATCAAATTAGCCTAAATCACCCTTGCCTATAAATTACGTACAGCAATTCATAAGGTCTTGATGTTAGAAAAATCAAAACAAAATTTTCGTAAAGTTACAAACGATCTACGCAGAGCTCGACTTCCTTTCATCGATCTTCCTACACTTTTACTAATAAGTGATGTTAGTAATGCATAATCTTTGATTATTGATGACTGTGACATGATAATCAGATTGAAAATGATATATTACCATCTACAAATGATATTAGAAATTTTCGAGTTGAAATAAGGAGCACAATGAAAATTATTTTGTATCAGATGACATGAAAGATGACTCGAATTAAGAAAAAGAAGATTGAGTTGGAATTCTATAAAGAGCTTAACAAGATTTAGGATTTTTAAGCCGATGTTCATGTTGAATCAAATTGTAGAAATTGATTGCCAAGTAATTATAGTATTTATGATTTAGAGCAATATATTTTTGTCAAAAATTTGAAAAATATGTATAAAGTTCAAGTAATTGCACTATTTGTGATTTCGAACAATATACCTTTTTATTTTTTTGAAAAAACATATAATTATTATATGCACACACATACTTATAATGCTTGATGTTGAATTGAAATGAATTGCTATACGTGTTTTATAACCTTGCTATGCTTAAAAAAAAAAAAAAAAAAAAAAAAAAAAAAAAAGGGTTTTTTAAAATTAAAAAATAAAAAAAAAAAAAAAAAAAAGAGTCGTATTGTAATGATTAAACTTCTTTTCTAATATAATAAAGAATAAAGTGAAAACACGGTAGAGAGAGAGAGAGAGAGAGCTTAATCTTACCACAAAACTCTCTTTCTGTATATATATCGACAAAGTTACCTATAGAGAATTGTGTCAGCTTCGCCAAACGCCATAAATCTTCTCTTTCCCTTTCCCTTTCCCTAATCGTCGGCATACCTAGAACCTTCCTCTCTCTCTCTCTCTCTCAAATCAGCTATATATATTTATTTGATGGCTTCAGCCTCTCAAGCTAGCCTTCTCCTTCAAAAACAGCTCAAAGGTATTGATTGAGAATTCCATTTTTTTGCCCCTGAATCGTCTTTCGGAAACTGGGTTCAATTTTTCTTTCTTTCTTTCTTTTTTTTATTCGAAAGTTTTATTTGGGGTAATAATCTGTGCTTAATCTTTTTTGCAGATCTATGCAAACACCCAGTGGATGGATTTTCAGCTGGTTTGCTGGATGAACAAAACCTATTTGAATGGAGTGTTACCATTATTGGGCCTCCTGATACTCTATAGTGAGCGTTTCTACCTGTTATTTTGTTTAAAGATTGTATTTTTTACTTAATTTATTAGTACTTTTGGCTCGTTATTCTTATTGTTTGATTAATAGTAGTTAGAATTTATTCATATAGGTACTAATTGCGAGTTTCATCAGTGTTGTTCTGTGGTTTTTCAATTTTGTAATTCAGGTTGTATAATTTGTTTATACTTTTTCCTTGTTATTATATTGTGGGGGGATTTGAGGCCAGGGTTTTCTGTAATTAGGAAAGTGAAGTTATATGTAGGGAATTATGATTCCTTCACTGTGGCAGGCGAGTTACTACCAGCCACAAGAAATCAGCTGCTTGATCGGTTTGGATTCAATGTGAGCTTATTCGGTAAATAATGGAGTATCATTATATTTGTCTCTTGGTTTCTGGAATACGGAATTTTTCCTGGAACTTAATCGTTATGCATCTGCTTTCAATCTTTCCAGCTGTTCGATATTATGTCTCTGACCTCTAGTGAATATTTGTAACGATCCTAATTTTTACCTTTGGAGTCATTATACATGTACCTAAAAATAATACTTTCATAAATAATTGAAAAAACACAATATTTTCTGAACATGAAAGGTTTAAAACAAATTTTAAAGAAAATTTAGTAAACGTCGTTAAAATCTTTAACTACTTAAATCATTATTCATTTCAACCATGCAGACAATCCACCTCTAATCGTCTCTTTTAGTTACCTATAAAATATTTAACATATATATGTGAGACATAAATTTCAGTAAATAAATCTCAGTGAATGAATACTAACGAACTTGCATATCTTATTTAATTACGAAAAATCATAACATACATATGGAGACACGAGAATCAAAATCTGAACTTTGTGCCTATAATTTCCGTGCGTAGCTTTACTAAACTCCGGTCCTTTGAACTTATACATATAGGACCTTGTCATAATCATAATTTGGATTTTCGTATCATCATATTCATAACATAAGTTTTAGTAATTAAAATAATGAAAGAACAATTCGTATTATTACACTTATCTTTCATTTGACAAATAAAAAATAATAGAAGAAGTGATTGTTGGAGGGAGATCTTTGAGCCGCGTGTCGGGTTGTGTGATTGTGTAAGTGTATGATTATATTTAATATGAAAAAGATAAGAGAAAGAGTAAAGGTGGAGAGACAAAGTGATAGAGATAGAGAGGGGGAGTGTAAATAGTTGGTGAGGGATAGTCCAATGTTGAGTTTAACTCCTATTTATAGTGCAAGTTCTTGGACCATGTGTAGAAAGTTGTAAGGAAATGACTAGATGTTTGGCAAGGTCAAAGCATAATTGGTGCATTATCTTGAAAGTTGTCAAATCAATGCCTTTAATCATGTGACCAAATCAATTGACTTGGCTTGAATCTTGGTGTAAATAATGCATGTGGTTAAATCAATTACCTTTATTTATGTGGTCAAAGCAATTACTTTGCTTAAAATGTAGTGAATAATGCCTGTGGTCAAATAAATTATCTTTAACCATGGCTAATCGACATATTTACTTATAATTTACATATAATTTCATTTAACTTCCAAATTAACTCTTATTTAGGCCCGCAAACTATTGGCTAGTAATTAATAAGGTCATTTAATTAGGTCAAAAACAAATAAGGTCATTAGACTTTAATAATAGCGCACTTAAGTCCTTGTTTTTAATCAAATGACTAGTAATAAAAATTCGGGATATTACAATATCTCTGTGTTAGTCTATGTTGTGCTGTAAATTTAGCGTGGAACATGGAGTTTGGGGACTTATATAGTTAGGGGTACTCTTTTTTAGGTAAATATAATCAACATATGCCTAGGTGCCTAGAGTGTCATAGAACCTTTCAAAACAGACTTGAACAGACAATGCTCCCTTACTCAGTAATCTTACTGTGACGTTAGACTCTGAATGGTTGCAGTGGTTGTGGGGTGGGGGGTGGGGAGTACTAGATGTGTTGCTATATCAAGAAACTAACTCTAGACTCACCTATTTTAGTAGACATGGTACAATCATAACACGCCATAAACGTAATCATTTGTCGTGTCTGTCTTGCAGAGGTTTATGCTTGTTTAGGGAGGTTTATAAGGTCAATTGGTCAAATAAGCTTTACGTCTTTCTTCCCAAGTAGAAAACTGATAACAAATAAAATAAATAATATGTTAGCATCAGATGGATGATTTTCCTTACACCCTGTCCAATTTAATTATTAGATTTAGGGTGAAGATGTCTTATTTGGGTGGCTTGATTTCAGTTAAAAATTCACAAAGCATTTGGATACATAGCTGGTGGTGAATTGGGAAGATTACTTCAGATGTCAATACTATTTTAGATATATAAATGAGAGTGCATATGTATGTCTGTGTGTGGATAGTTATTATCTCTTAATCGGATGGAAATAGGAACAAAGAATTTAATATGATTAATGTGAAAGAAAAAAGTAGGCACGTTCACAAAATGGAACTTAAAGAACTATGCCATCTCATTTCATATTTTCCGGCATGATTGGCTTTTGCTTTGATTTAGATATATTAAAATTGGGGATAAGAATTTGGATGATGCTGACGTGTTTTTTTTACAATGGCTTAATGTTTCAAGTAATATTACGTACTTTGTTCTGATTGTTATTGCATATTTTCACATGCAGTGAAGGGGGTTTTTTCAATGCTATAATGAGCTTCCCCCAAAATTACCCAAACAGTCCTCCAACAGTGAGATTTACTTCTGAGATGTGGCATCCCAATGGTTTGTATGCTTTTAACATTTAAGAATGTTCTATTGCCTTGTTATTACCGTTATAACTTCTTTAGTGCATTTATTCGAAACTTTTCATGAGGTGCAGTTTACCAAGATGGGAAGGTTTGCATCTCAATTCTTCACCCCCCTGGTGATGATCCAAACGGTTACGAGCTTGCTAGTGAACGCTGGTCTCCTGTCCATACGGTAAGCTCTAATTACTTTGTTTGTTATGAGATTGGATTTAAGTTTCTGCTTAATGGTAATCAAATTGCTACCAACGTTTGATTTCATTTCATATTTACTTCTTAATTTTATCCAGCTCTGTTTAATATATATGTGCAGACAATAATTGGAAGTTTAACCATTTGAAGTTTCTTAATTGACTTCTTTAAGTGGAAAGTAGTTAAATTCATTGCATGATAAAAAGCTTGAAGTAGATAACTCTGCTGTTTCCTCTTCCTTGTTTCTTTTAATGCTTTTATGTAGATGCACCTGAGAGATTCTTGGAGATATAAATAGAGTTGTATGGAAACTGTGAGAAAGAGGGAGATAATAGTCAAGGAAATCTTGAAAATATTAGGAGTGGCTGCATAGTTATTTGCCATTGTCTTTAACAACACTCAAGAGAGGAACACAGTAATAAGTATTTTATTATAGTTATTTTTCTTTTTTGATTTTGCAAATTTTGTCATCGATTCTGGGGGAAAACTCCTGCATTGTTTCTGTTGGGTATTTAGAAATAATGACACAGTATAGTTAGTGGTATTTATGTCCCGAAGATTTTTTGGTTTTAGGCATTTAGATTCAGTTATTGATAATGAGGACTTAGGATGATCTAATATATATAATTAGAGCTGGTAGGACGAAATGAAGAAATGTTCACTTGGAATGCTGTGAGATAAGAAGATATCTGTAAGGTTAGAAGGCAAGTTTTACACAATTTTCATTAGACCAACTATGCTCTATAGTATTTGAACTCAAGCGGTAAAAGGGAAAATGTTTATAAGATGAAGTACCGAAAATGAAGATGTTAGGTCGGACATGTGGCCAATAACAAATGAGAATATAGAATATATACTTACAACTGCAGGTGACAATTATTAAGGAAAAATTAAGGCAATGACGACTTGGGTGATCATTTCCTTAGTTGAGGTGAGCAAGTCTTTTGAAGACACGAAGAAGTTTCTGTTCATAAAAGTAACGCAATTTTTCTAGAATATGTTAGAAGAGGGAGGTAGGCTGAAATTAATGTGGTCTAATGTGGTTGCAAAGGTTTGATTGCACTGGATGTTTGTTACATGTGGCTGTGGATGTAACAATGGATCAAACTGAATGGGGGAAAAGGAAATTGCGGCCAGCCGGCCCAAAATTATTAGAATTAAAGCAATTGTTGTATTGTGAATATTGTTGCATGGTTAAATAAGATCAACAGGTTTGATTTGGTTCATAGTACCATTGGCCATGGCAATACAAAGTCATATGTTTGCTGCCTTCATTCTACTTGATGTTAATCGAATAGATGAACATAAATTTTCTCTTGAAAGTCATGTTAACTATTTATATTTATATTATTGCCACAGTATCTTTCTTCTTGTTTCATACTGAATTATTCTTGATGCTCAATATCTCTCAAAGTTCAATGAGTTGTAATTTGAAGATTGCAGCCTGTGAAATTATAAAAAGCACTTCCTTTGATAGTTGTCTATATCAGCATTGTATTCTTTCCATTAACCACAGTGCTGTACAGGTTTTTCCACATCCCCACCCTCACTCCAACTAATGAAGTTAATAAAGAGAATTTAATTTGCAGGTGGAAAGTATAGTTCTAAGCATTATTTCGATGCTTTCAAGTCCTAATGACGAGTCTCCAGCAAATGTGGAAGCGGCAGTAAGTGTTAATGCATCTGATTATTTTAACCACTTAACTTAGTTCTCACTTCATCATCATGTGCTTATTTCTCTTGGAGCAATGCCAATAGGCTATTTATTAGCCCCATTTTTCTCTATTTTAGAGAGTCGAACCTATTTTTGAGGTGTTCAAGACACACTTATCTTCAAAAATTAAAATAAAGAGTGGTCATTTCAAGAGCCGAATTCACTCTCTAGACAGTGCTGCATTTATTGCACAACTTTTCTATTCATTTCTTGATTTCTACAAAATGAAAAAGAAGTAAATGCTAAAATAAAATTAAAAAAATAATAATAATAAGAAAAGAAAGGAGGGAAAATGATGAATGATAATTGCTTATGGGAAAATGCAAAATAATGAATGAATATGGGGAGTTATTGGATCAAAATTTGACTCTTTAATTTTTATTTTTATTTAAAAAAAATCGATAAAGATGCTCTTTAAAATAAAGAGCACTATTGGAGATGCTCTTAGAAAATTATCCTCTTATCTTTTCTTCTTTCCATCTTTATATTGCTATTTTGCTATGTATTTATCTAGAGTACATTTTTTCCCCATCTTTTTGGGGGTGGTTGGGTGAAGATCAATTGAGTTTTTCCGATGTGCATTCTGAAGCTGTGCATAAGATTTGCGTGATAGCCCAATATATGTGTAATGGAGTTGCAAGTTCTACTGTTTCTCAGGTATCATTAGCATAAACGGTTTTGAAGAACCTAGTGTAATTTAGCAGAGAAATATCTGTGATTTTCTTTTCCCTCCCACCAAACGAATGGACATCAATAATCCTTGCTAGTTGTAATGATTTAAGCGTATAAGGTATCAAATTCTCTTAATTCATAGATAATACTCATTAGCATCTTTCATATATTTTGGGTGCTATTTTGACTCAAAAAAGGCATCTCATTTCATTCTCTGATGAGACAGCCGAAGTCCTTAATGGAAAGTTTGGTATGAAAGATTAGATAGCGCTGTACATAATTGAAGTAAGAAAAATAAACCCAAATATTGTGTATTACATTGTATAGTCCTTTCCAAACGTGAATTTTAAATCATATTATTCTGTATTTCCCTCTTAAGTTGTTATCTATGAAAAATGATCAAACAGCAGAAGTTCGAGCGCTTTTTTGGGTTAGTTCTGTTTGTGGGGTTCCCAAGTTAATCACTGATTCCCCTTTCTCCTTAATAATGCAGAAAGAATGGAGAGAACAAAGGGACGAATTCAAGAAAAAAGTTAGTCGTTGTGTAAGACGATCACAAGAAATGTTGTAAACTTGTTCCTCAATGCTGCTTCAAGTTATTTTGCAAGAACACAATGTTGAATCCAAAAAATGGTTTCCTTATGATTGCCCATTTGGTTTTTTTCACGTCTTTTTGCTTGTTTCACTGCAGTTTCTGGTTTGTTGTACTTGAACCATGTAATCAACTATTGACATTCTTTAATCTTTACCCTTTTATCTAAGATATTGGCTTTTAATCTGTAGCTTGGAGTCATATTAAAGTTGAGTGAAGGATTCAGATTTACATATTTTAAAATTTTAAAATTTCACTTTTGAAGGTTGTGATTTCATAATAATATCACTTAAAAAGGTGAGACATTGAGGCTTAATATTTTACAAAATGTATAATTAAATAAAAACATTTCACTGATTCAAGTCTTGTACTGCATGAATTTTTAGTTATAACTTCTATATTTTATATGGAAATCATGCCTTCGGTTGGGACTGGGGTGGTAATATTTAGGCCCTATTTAAACTCCAATAATTTGAAGAAATGTATTATGGAATAGTGATTGATGGAAATGTGTGGTTAAAAAAGAATATTTTTTTTTATTTGTGTGTAATATTATTTTAATAAAAAATGTGGTTAAAAATGAGTACTGTAGAAAAAATAATGAGAAAGAATATAATGTCCATGTTTGGTCCTCATTAAATCTCATCAAATTAAATTAAATTTTTTTTTTTTCTATTTTCAATTATATAATTTTTAATAAAATAGTATTACATCGAATTATTATTATTATTTTACAACTATTCATTTTCAAAAAAACACATTCCCTTATTATAATTAAAATTAATGGGAAGTAAAATTGTATAGCTTACAAGGAGATGTTATCTGTTAGACTAAGGTTCTATTTCTTTGGTAGGTTGGTTATTTTTTGACCATTTTGAGGCCATTGCATCTAAATCAAATATGTTGCATTGGAGTTTAGGGTAGAGGTGGGCGTGGGTCGATTCGGTTCTAAAAAGAATCGAATCGAATCGAACCAAAATTTTTGGATATCTAGTAAATAGAACCGTTGGGTCCAAATATAATTATGGAACCATTCATATTTGGTTCGGTTTGGTTTTGTTCGGTTATGTACTATAATTAAATTTACATTTATAACAACACTATATAAATACAATTAATGATACATTCAATTGTAGTTTTACAAATTAACGTAGTCCAATTTAATAACATGTAAATAACAAGTTGTCCAACAAGATTAATTTATCAATGCTTACAATTTACAAATACCAAAAAGTAGATACTAATACTAAAACTTGAACTATCCATCAATTGCTTGACTTGTCATACTCACTTCTAAGAAACTTTGCAAGAAGAAATTGAAAAAGCACAATTAAGTTATTCACAAACATAAATAAATTCAAATTTGAATTGTTCAACTAATAAGATTTAATAAAAAAAATATAACATATATTTTATTACATGTTTCAATACCCTCATAGAACTCCGTCTCTTCAATGTAAACTCTGTCTTGGGAAACTTTTAAAAGTCTAGATTCTTCCCTTAACCAATTTTGTAAACAAATCAAGGCCGTAATTGTTTTAGGAGTTAAAAAACTCTTAAATGGATCAAGAATGCCCCCTCCAGTACTAAATGCTGACTTAGAAGCAACTGCAGATACAGGAATGACAAGAACATCCCTTGCAACCTCAGATAAAATTTCAAATCTTGATTTATTGATTTTCCACTAATTCAAAATGTCAAAATTTTCATCACTAGCATCTTTAGTGGATTCCATTCGATATCGTTGTACCTCATCTTTTCCAGAAAAATCCATTTTGGTACTTTTAAATTTCTTCTACCCAAAATCAAAATTGCAATCATCCCAATCATCATCATCATCATTCGAATCCTCCAACAAAGTGACTCCCTCATTAGATTCATCGCCCCCACTTCTGCTTCCATTAGGCCCATTGTTTGAACGATACCATCCCTTTTGTTGGTTATACAAAGCATACAATAATTTCATGACCTCCTTTTTTGCGCCTTCAACTTTAACACTGTCATACAAAATACCAATGCAATGTACAACAAACTCCAACTTATACCTAGGATCAAGCACGACTGCTACAATCAAAATCTTGTGCATTTTATCAACTTTACCCCAATACTTGTTAAACTTAATCTTCATACTATTTGCTATACTACTTAGCAAATAATCTTGCTTCTAACCCATTTTCTTCAAAATTTGCTCGATTTTACGAACTTCATGGAAGTAAATATTGGAAGTAACACTCAATGAAGCACTAAACTTCAATATGACATCATAAAAGGTTCTTAGAAACTTGACAAATTTTCTAGATTTCTCTTAATCATAACTTGTAGGTGGCCCCTCTTTTTCTTTTCCACCTTCATTTTCATCAAAATATTTACAATAAAATCCGTCCTTTTCCTCCATTCTTTCAAAAGCTTTTTCAAAATTCAATACACTATCCAACATTAAGAATGTTGAATTCCATCTAGTAGGAACATCTAAAATAGCAAATTTTGTGCATGCAATCTTTTCCCTTTCAATACAATATTTAAATTTTGTCAACTGGGAAGGAGATGATCGAAAATATTTTACCTCATTGTGAATACTATCTATAGATGGATTAAACTCTTTCAACCTTTCTTTAACAATCAAATTGACTATGTGTGCTGAACGACGTACATGCAGATAAGAGCCACCTAAAATCATAGTATCATCAGGTTTCCAATTCTTCAACTTGTTTTTCACGTAAATGATCGCTGCATCATTTGTATTTGCATTGTCTACATTAATGATACCCACGCATTCTATTCCCCGATCAAGCAAACACGTCTCAATAACCTTCCCAATTGTCTCCCCTTTATGATTTGGAACCATAGAATAACTCAATATCCTCTTATGCAGTTTCCAACTTCTATCGATAAAGTGTGCTATGACTACCATATAATTGATGTTTTGAATTGATGTCCAACAATCAGTGATTAAAGAAATCCTTTGTCTATCCTTAATAAATTTAATTCTCAATGATTCCTTTGTTTCATGGTAGAGATGTAGCACATCTCTAGTAATCGTTGTTCGAGAAGGAACCTCAAATCTAGGGCAAAGTTGATGAACAAATTCCTTAAAATCCACATCTTCCACAAAGAAAAAAGCCAATTCATCAATAATAATCATCCTAACCAAGACTTTTCTACACATTTCTTTATTAAACACCGTAGCCATAATACCACCATCATTGTTTTCTCAAGTGAGTAGTGCTTGGTTTTCATCAATTTTAGTGTTCTTGTATGCATAACAAGTTTTTAAATGCTTCCACATGTTAGAAGTTCCACTATTAGTGTCAGCCTTATATGTTCTCTCACAATAATTACATTTTGTTTTTTCTCCACCAAGTATTCTAGTGAAATGATTCCATATTTCTGACCTCTCATTAGGCTGTCTTTTGTCTTCCATTTGAGCATCCAGAATTGGTATCACCTTAACAAGAAACTTGACTAAATCCTGCACAAACAATGTGGAACAAATTATAAAATCGTCAAATACTAATGAATGATAGTTGCACCAATTGAACAGAGAGAAACCAGCAAAACATTCTGGAAAACCTTTAAAGAGCATAAGCTAACAGCTAACTAATCTTATTAACATGATCAGTTGGTTATTTCTCTAATTTAGATGTTGCATACAAACCTAAAATCTGATACTTTCAAGGATAAAAATGTTTCAACAACTTCTTAAGGTTTCTGGTCAAGTGGTTATACATCATCTACATTTTCAATAATTTTACAGTCTCTACCTTTACAATCATTTCTCTATAGCTTCAGAAATTTTAATTGGTTTCTTTTCATGTAGGAAAATATTGTGGCCAAATATTTCTCAAGATCTAATGGACATTTTCAGTCTGTAGAAACGAATTCCACCACTAGTGTCTAAATAATTTCTTTAGTTTCTACCTAATACATCTTCTCAAGTTCAAATATCAGTTGCAATAACATTTACCACTCATTTTCTGCTAAACTCTGTAATCGAAGGCATCAATTTTATCTATCCAACCATAGTAAAGATTTCTTCTAAAAAATAAAGCATTGATTATAAGTTATAAGCTCAACCAGTTCTTTAGAGCATCTGTTCTTCCTTTCTTTTTGCCAAATTCTCTCAAGTAGAATTCAACAAATTCAATGTCAACAGATTCTTCAACAAATTCAATATCAAGAAGAAGAAAAGCAAATACAAATTCTTCAAGTGTAGGTCTCTCAAGCAGAAAGCAAATACAATCTCTAGCACTAAATAACTCATTAAAAACACATGAAGTTAACCCTTGAATCCAAGCTCTAAATAACTGCAATAGTATACTACATTGTTCAAATGAAAGCTACGGTCACAGCTTCGATCAGCAGTTGGGTCATATCTTCGGTCGGTAGTCACATCTCGATCGAGGGTCTTAGCTTCGGTCGGCGGTTGTATAGATTTTGGAATATCACCACTACAGCGAGAGTGAGTAAGAGGCGGAGAGAGCGATTCAGATTTCAGTCTTCAGATGTTATGCGTGCAGTGTATGTAGGTGTTTAGGAATTAGGGTTATTTAGTGGGTTGTGCTAAGAAATGAAATTATGAAACAATAAAATGGTTATTGTGCCAAAAATTAAAAAAATTAGAAAAGAAATAAATTATTGGGCCAAAAATTTGGATTTAGAAATTGTTAATTTCTTAATTTATTTAGAAAAAATTAAAATTAAAATAAATTGATTTATTCAATATTAAAAAAAAATTGGAAAATTCGGTTTCTGGTCTAGAACCAAGAATTGAATCGTACCCATCGGTTCTCAATTCAAATATCCGTTCGAGTATTTAATTTGATAAGAACCGTCGGGTTCGGTTCGGTTCGGATTTTATTCTGTCGGTTCGGTTCGGAAGATTTGCCCAACCTTAGTTTAGGGGGCAATTGGTTCAATTTGAAATGTTTTTTTTTTATCTATTTGAAATTAAATCATTTAAAATGGTTTGAAAAAAAAAAAATAGAACCTAAACTTAAACTAAATCTGAACCTAAACGAATATCAAACAGTCTAAAAAAGCCTCAAATCTAAACCGAATAATTTGATTTAGTTTCAGACCACTGTTTGGAAATGAAAATTATATTAATGCACATTTAAACATTCAAGCAACACAGCACGACACATTTCTACAATTGTCTATGATTTAATAAATAAACCCACATGTTATAATTATATATTAGCTCCAACAGTTAAAGATAGAAGTGAACTTTATTTTTTTTAAATGGAAAACTAACTCAAATATAAAATAGAGAAAAATAACTTTGTTAAATTACTTATATCGTTTGCTTCATTAATTTAGTCAAATTTAATTGCACAATTTCTTCCTTTGTGGTCACATTTAGATGGCACCGAAATAAAATTCAAATCAATTTCATGTTTTATTTATTTATTTATTTATTTATTTATTTTTTTACCTTATCCAAAAATAAATAAATAAATAAATAAATAAAATTCATGTTTTTTTTCTTGTAAAATTTAAGCTTCCTCAACTATAGAGAGGGATGTTTACGATTACCAATGCAATTCTACAAGTGAAATGGATAAATTGCATTGTCCAATATGGTTTTAGCATAAAAATATTAACTATTCGTTGAGGTTTGGTTTGTTTCATTACCATAACATTGACGGGCTCACGTAAATTCAAACTCACGCCTCGAATTCTATTTGGTCTACATACAATAAGAACTGAATATGGATTTCTGACTAAAGAGAAAGTGGGCAACGTACAAAAATATCCTTAAAATTAGGAATCTTTTAAAAAATTATATGAAAAGTTTTTTAAAAGTAAAAAAATACTGTATGATATTAAAAAGTGACACGATGTCACCTTTAGAAGTTAAGTATCACTTTTTATTAGAAAATGACATACAATGTCACTTTTATTAAAAAGTAATATTTGTCACTAAAAAAAGTGATAGAAATTAAGGTGACCGAAAAAAGTAATAAACACTAAAAAAAAGACAAAAAGTCATAAAAAGTGAAACCAATTAAAAATAAAATAAAATTGCACAGGTTAAAAAATGTGACAAACTCTCAAAAAGTGAAATTTTTTTTTTTTTTTTTAAAAGTGATAAAACTAAAAAACGTAACAAAAATTTAAAAAAAAAAAAAGAGACAAATCATAATCCACAATTTTCAATATAGCCAAATTATCCAATAAGTTCACAATGATGATCAAACTTTTGAACTAACAATTTAGACAATATAATCACAATACAAAAATTTAAATACAGCCAAGTTTCCAATATTTTTTCCCTGCTATAAAGCAAGTACTTCCTAGTTGTCCAAATATAAAACCAATACTTCACTTTCCGGTATCATATCTCCACAAGCATATGTTTGGGCCTCATTTTTGAAGTGAAAATGAGTGGAATAGTATTTATTTGAAAAATAAGTGGCTGAAAAAGAAAGAAATTTTTTTGATTTACGTGTAATATTATTTTATAAAAGATTGTGTAGTTGAAATTAAAAGAGAGAAAAATGAAATAGAATTTAATTTGTGGGGGGGGGGGGCGGGAAAAATCTATGAAGCAAGTAACTCCTAGTTGTCCAAATATAAAACCAATGCTTCCTTTTCCATTATCATATCTCCATAAGCATAAAATAACATCTAATCATGTTTGGGATGAAATAAAAAATTTCCTTCAAATAGACAATAATGTCTAGTGCTTTGTACAAAATATTTCACAAGATTCTAGGAGAGCTCGTTTTCAAACTTAAGGGCAACCAGACCTTATAAGAGACTGAAAATAGGCATAAACAAAAACAAGCTTATTTAAAATAAAAATAAAAATAAAAAATAATAATAATAAAAAATAATAATAATAAAAAATCTTTATTTGATAAGACGTAGGATTCAGAATCGGACCTGATGGGAGGTCCAAGAGGCCTCTGCCTCAGGCCCAAAATTTTAGGGGGCCCATTTTTTATTTTTTTTAACCCAGTATGCTCACGTGTTCAAAAGAAACGAATAAATACTTTAATGAAAAGAGAAGAAAGGAACATCAAAAAATTTATTTGTTGTTTTATTGTTGATTTAAGTTAACAAATTTAATTCCATAAACTTCTAATTTTTTATTTTATTTTTTTAAAAAAGGGATTGTTTGCTACGGCTTAGGGTTTAGGGCCCAAATTCCGAAGTTCACCTCAAGCCCTGTGAAGCACAGGTACGGCCCTGGTAGGATTATAGCAGAAACTTCACAGAAAGAACTAAAAAAGGTGACATTGGATACAACATGCTGTCAACCCATCTACCACAAATGTGAATACAGCCTAGTTCATCTTCTTGATCTTGAATCGTTATACAGCTGCACATCGTAGCGATATTTAGCAACCCTTTCTTTCATCGCGCCTTCCTGCAATATAAGAGCAGGTCAGTCACAAACCAAGGAAAATATGCAACTTTGATACATGTTTATGCAGAAATATAATTCTCGCAAAAACTGAGAAAAGTTACGTGAAATATGAACCCAATTGTGTCGATGTATTCTAGGAATCCCTTCCACTATCTTCCAATGCTCAGTCGCAAAACCTGTAAATTTCACAAGGCATCAGCAAGCAACACTTCCAAAAACATAAATATAAAAAAGGCAAAAGCAATAAATACCTATATCAATAGCTTCAGTAAGTAAGTAAAACAAAAAAATGCATAAATTACTAACAGTACACTCTCTATAACTAACTTGCTTGTCAATATTCTTTCTTCTATAAATACAGATACATAGGTAAAGGCAAATATACAATTTATTTTCATATCGAAACTCCAGTCAAATCTCTGCTTGCTTGTCTTTCTCACACCCAATTCCCTTTATACAACCTGTACTAGCATTTAGCTTGACCGTGGGGGTATCAGTGATCGTTGGCCTCCCTTTAGGTCAGTGATTTTGGTGATCATGATTTGTGTCCTAGTATGCATGTAACAAATATATCGGCAGAAACACGGTTCAAGATAAGTTGACAACACATGATCCCATGATTTTTGAGGTCAACATATTCACTAAATTCTATAAAATTTATCATTTAAATTTACTATTAATAAACTTTTAAATTAGGTTGCTCAAAAAGGTTTGCTAGGACATGATATTGAAAATGTGGAATTATGGGGTAAATTTTCCGTCTATGATCTATCTTCATCTTTTTCTTTTCTTTCCTTTTTTTGTTTTTTTGACATTTTTTTATTGTAGATTTTCAAATCAAATGCAAATCTAACATTTTCTGCGATTTTTTTTTATTGCAAATTAATTTGTTAGAATGTTACAATATTCTCAAAGGATTTCAAGTCTCAAAATTCTGTATTAAAATAATGCAAATTGCAGTGTGAGGAGAGAAAAAATAAACGAATTCAAGTAATGATCAATGAACTTCATGCACATAAGCTGCAGAATGGATGCTATTCACAGAGTTTGGAGAAGAAACTCAGCCCACAGCCACGGAGTTCCTTAACAAGACTAAGCACCAGGAGATGAACAATTCAATTCTTACATTCTTTCTTTTCCTCTCTCCCCAAATTAAAATAGCCAGTCACTGCCGGAGCAATAATAAATTAAGGGATTGCTTGGCCAAATTTTTGATAAAATTTTTAACAGATGTTAATAAAAGTTATTGAATTGTATTGTTGAAAAATTGATAAAAAAAAATTTGTCCAATTATACATGGTTAAATTTAATTGTGATTTCCGGCATCAACTTTTAAATAATTTTTTTAAAAGAAACTTTGAAGAGAACTTTACTTCCAGTTCTACTGTCACATTGGTAAGTGGGTTGTCTTATTTTGTTCAGAGAAGGAAAAAATCAGTTCTTTTAATTATAAACAAATGAATAAATACACATCTAATTACTAACAATAAAATATTACACAAATAAAAATGAAAAAATGGCTGTAGATGAAAATGGGAGGATTCAAAATCAGAAAAGACAATCAACGGCAGGAGCCGTTTTGCCTAACATAAGAAATTTGTTCTCCAATGGAGTCAAATTCAAATCCAAACAGAATAACCTCCTGCTATTCGATCTCTTTACGATAGGAGGAGGATTTGAAAGAGACAAAGACAAGCCGGGTGACGGCGGCTGTTGGTGGTTTTCATTAACGGCAGCCGTTCTGTGCCGCCTCATGTGCCCTCCAAGAGCTTGCCCAATGGCGAATTCTATCCCACAAACAGGGCACTCATGCGTTTTGGGCTTCGCCGGAGATGTCTTCCACTCGCCGGAATGCTGTTCTCCCATCAGTCTCTGCTTCTTGTGGCTGGCCCGGTGGCCCCCGAGCGCCTGGAACGACGGGAACTGCCTGTTACATGTCTTGCACTCGAAATTACGAGCGGCGGAGCTGTCAACGACTGAATCAAAAGCGCCTGCACCGCCATTAGAGAGTAACATCAAAGAAATCGCCATGCTTTTCATGTTCTGATCAGCTTCTTCTTCTCTACTCCTCTTCATAGTCATTTGTAAATCCAATACCATGAAATATGTATGTATGTAATGAGAAAAGAGAGTGAAAGGTGATATGTGTATATATAATATAGGAAATTGTTTACAGGTGATATTGAGAAGATGTGCTTTAGTAGTTGTACACTTTGACTTTTTTAGTTGACCTTTCGCAAGACGAAATGTACTACATAACATTCTCGCTGGAAAAGGATTAAATAGATAAAGTATCCGTCATCGATGACGGTAAGACGGCGAATTACTGAGTGGCCGAGTCAAACACAATGACAACTTCAATTTTCTAGAATATTTCTTGTTAGGTTGCCGCGTATGAACTCACGAGTGGGACTCGGAGGCCGCGTTGAAATTCAGAATTACTCATTTACTTGTCAAGTAAGCAACACTGAGTTAGGCGAGTTGGTGTGTGAATTGGCTAAGTTCCTATGTTGCTTCCTGGCTTGTATTATTAGACTATTAGTAAGATTTCATGTGCCGTGACGATAGGCATCAATTACTCTAGAAATATTTATTTCTACTTTCACACTATTTTTTTTTTTTTGGGTTACATTTTCTAATAATATAGAAAATCTCTTACTCGTGACCGTCATTTATTTGTAATAACATGATTAAACAATTAAACTCGATTGAGAAAATCATAATATAAAATGTTGTGTTAATCATGTTTAGTTCAATATATTTAGAGTCCGTTTGGTGCACATTTTTTAGATGAAAATGATAGAGTACCAAAAGATTTGAATGGTTAAGTTAATAATTCTTTTTTAAGTACAAAATTTTTTAGTTATAGCTCTTTTAAAATTAAAAATGGAGATAAGAACAAGACAAGTTCTACTTGGATTTGCTAACAAGTTTCTCAACTTTAGTGTACAATCAAATTGAATTACTCTATTGAAAAATATATAGTTGTTACAAATAGAATATTATTGGAGCTCTAGAAACTATGCAAGTAACTTGACATCTAAAAACTAAAAAAAAGCCACATCCCTACTATTAGAACATAATAAAGTTATTCATATGCACGATCTACCTTAGACAATTTATGTGATTTTTCATGACGACTTAAAAGGCCTACATTAGACTTCTGCTTATTTTTAATAAGAACAACAAAAGTCAATTCGACTTTTTAGTCATGTAGAACGTCACATAAATTGTCTACGATAAGTTGTACCTATCAATAGCATTATTCGTTAGGATATATATAGTTTCATCAAATAGTATGCTAGACTTTCCGACCCCTAGGATGCTAGTCAACTACTCTGATATAGTTTATCTGATTTACTCAACCTATCTTTAATTTTATAATTAATTCTCATACAAGTAAAAACTACTTGATCAGTGACGGATTTAGCATAGACTTTATGGGACGTAAAGCAACAACAACAACAAAAATTAAGAACTTAATTTGTCCACCAACGCACGCAATGAAATATTAAATACGCACACATAGCTATTTGACTATCTTTGGAAGTTACTTTCATTAATGAAATAAATGAAACTAAAGATAACAACAATATCGACGGTGGTAGATTAACAATTGAAATACATAAAACTTGATGGATGTAAAATTTGACCTTCAAAGTACAAAATATAATGTAGGTAGACGAAACCTACTAATTAAACGTTGAATTTTCTTGTCCTTATTATTTATTTCTTTACATTAGTCTCTAAACAAATAAATTGATGAAAGTAATCTCTTATTATCAACCCTATACGTAGATTAACGGAAACACAAAGAACTCAAGAAGACATAAAATCTTATCTCTAATATACAAAAAAAAAGGAAAAGTCATAAAAACACCAAATACTACAAAAACAAATGGTGAGTCGAATAAATAAATAACTATTTAATTTAAAAGAAAATTGAAGATATCTTTAATATCTATTATTTTCCACGTCTATCCAACATAAATATGAAATACATATATGATGCACTAAATTATCAAATACTACAAATTGAATCCTAGTTTTCTTTAATTCTTTCTTTATAGTCATATCTATCAAGGCTTTTTCTATTCAAGACCCTTCTTAGTATGAAATTGTAAATTATTAACCTTTTAATCTCCATATTTCCAAGTTTCCTCACCAGTTTTTCAACACTTGGTAGAGTCACTATAATTAAATATCTTCATAGAATTTTTAATTTAGACGAAAACTAAAGATAACATTAACATCTCTTATTTTCAACCCTTGAAAATGTTCAGTCGTTCATATTTAATTTTTTTCAACTTTGAAGTGATGATCAAACTGCTATATACCTAATAACATTAGACTTCAATGTGTATCAGCTGACATATAACCTCGTCAATGCGATTAAATCAAAGCAATAAACTGACCATTTTTTTGAAACTAAAATACGCAAAAAAGAGTTATGCTACATTAACAGGGCAAGTAGGCCATGTTCGTGACAGCCTGACAAGGGCTTAGCATTATGAATAAAGCCCTGTGTATAGGGCAAATATTCATAGGGGTCTGTATCGGCCCCAAACGGGCCCGAATGCAATAAAATAAAATAAGAAACAACCCCACCTCATGTGAGACGCTTGTAAGGGGTATGTAAGAGCTGGGTCTGTACGTCCAGCTCGGTCCTAGCATTATTCTATTCAAAAATTAGTTTTGACTCTATATGTAGTTTGTTGTTACTATGAATCAAATAAATATCATAATACTCAAAATTAGACCGTTGCGATCTTGGACAAGTATAGTTCACTACAGCTGTAGAGGAGATTTCGCTCGAGAGAGCTTTTACGTCTGATTTTGTAAAAAACTTCCGTAGATGGTAGATTCTAAAATTGAGAAATTCAGAACTATTTGGCCACCAGCAATCCTTAAT